TGTAGGGGCTGGTGTAGGGGCTGGTGTAGGGGCTGATGGAGGGGCTGGAGTAAGGGCTGGAGTAAGGGCTGCGATAGAGGCTGGGCCAGGGGTAATGTTGGAGGGCCTTGAGGAGTGGGCGCAGGACGGGTATGTGGGGTGGTTGGCGGCGATGAAAAGCCTCGTGTATGAGGAGTGGTAGAGGGGGACGACGAGTCTTGGCCCGAATCTGACTTTGTTATTAGAGCTGGACAAAAAAAGAAAAGAAAGCAAGAGGATCAGAAGATTACGCCACACCAACCAGTTGGCCCCAGACCTGGTTAAGACGGGTAACGAAATGTTCAACGTTAGTACAGGACATGCTGGAGGAGCAACAATAAGTCAAAACTTGATTTAACAATACAAATTCCATGCTAGGTGTGGTTTATGAAGACGGGAGAAACAAAAACAAACAATTAAGTACTTAACACAGAAGCTTGGCAGGTTAGACTAGTTTATTAGTCACATCACTATACTACTCATAGGGCATAAGGAGCATATACACAAACACAATCAACTAGAATTACCGCACTGAGGTTCCATGCCACCACCATCCAATGCAGTTTCAGTCTACATTACGTTTGTTTCCCAGACACATAAGGTCATGAGAATTATATAATCTTTGAGTCCAAGTGAAAACTGCTTAAAATGTGTAGAAATTCCCTAAAGGTGGATTTGACATATCGTGTCCAAGAGGCCAAAAATATGTTTAATGAGGCCACCGAGACCCGACCCTTTGAACCACCCAAATCTAATGAGTTATGTGTCACAGTGACTGTTTATGCCAAATTTTAAAGAATTCTCTCGAGTTCTTCTTAACACATTCACGAAGCAAAAGAAAATAGTTTTGTGAGGTCACAGTGACCTTTGACCACCAAAATCGAGTCCAACTGAACATTTATACCAAATCTGAAGAAGTTCCCTCAAGGTGTACTTGAGATATCATGTTTACAAGAATGGGACAGCTGGACAACCCGAGACATGATGCCTGCGGTAAATGGCATAAAAACTTCAGTCATAACTCCTTTTCTCCCAGGAAAGGCTGTAAAAACAAACCGTATCAATATTTTTAAGTTCTCTCTAACGCATACCTGACTCCCGTCGGCCCCCACGCCGTCCCTTGGTGACCACAGCGATCTCCGTCTCCTCCTGCGGCATCTCTGTGATCTTCTGGAGAAAGAGCTTTTCCAAGGCCTCTGCCATTAGGACGATATCATCCCCAGGCTAAACAGACAAAGAAAAACATAGATATGTTTGAGTGTTTTGCACCCAGGTCTCCTCTCTTTGAGTTATAATAGAAGTTGAGCAGGACACTGCCTTGATGGAAACAGAACAGTAAAGTGATTGTTCTGGTGATTCATGTCCCTTGTGCCTGGACGCTCTCATGTCACTGACCTTGTTGTAGATGTAGCAGTTTGTGAACATTGTGTTGAAGTCTTGGATACACTCTTGGGCGTTCCAGTAGTAGTTGTTCTCCAGGCGTTTCTTTATTGTGCCCATGTCCATAGGAATCTTGATGATCTTGTAGTAGTCCTTGAAGAGAGCAGGTGAAGAATACATTACTGATGAAATAAGTGTCTTCTCTAGACACAGGTCAATGAGAAATGTTCCTTTTATTTATTTATTTTTTACATGAAATCACAATGTGCTCAGTGCAGTGGTAATTCATGTGAAGCTTGTGCTAGAGGCCCTGCAGACTGCTACATTATTAAGACCCCAAAGCACAATCCATAGCAAATAAAGTAAATCTGAGGCACTGCTTTGCATTGGCCCAGGACCAAAGACAATTAATGTGTTAGTCCATGGACAGAAAAGTGTTTTCTATTAGGTATCGACTTTAGCAGCCCACCATGGTCTAATTTGTCCCGCCACAGTTTCATAATGACCCAGCTCTCGTCATTTCTTGAAAGGTCTATAAATTAGTGCTCTGTTGCCCCGTCGCTCTCAAATACACACATAGATCGGACCAAAATATCCTGCGGTCTGAGCCCAGCTTCTGTTGCAACAACAAATGTTTTTTAAATATGAAGGAAAGAGTGCAAGTACTTCTACTTACTTCTTTTTGACAAAAAGAATAACCAGGAGTAGTTTTTTTTTTACTAAGTGAAGTAGTGGTCAGTAGTCAAACTGTACCAACTGAGCATGTAAAGTCCGTAAAACCAAGGACAATCACCTGCACTGCAGTGTAATTTGCATATTATATTAATTTACAATACCATTTGTGTATTTTGGACTATACCACAAACACACATGAACACAAGACTCACAGGTAAATTGAGTTTGATGGCATCTACGGGAGCTTGGAAGGGCCATGCAAAGTGGTGCTTCCATAACGTCTTAAACACCACTTTAAGCAGGTACTGAAAAAGAGCAATGTCATAAAATTAATCAAACTCAAATTCAAACACCGCAGAAAGTTTTCATGTTTTAAACTCTCTCTCTACCTGCAGCTGGTTGGTCTGTCGTTTGGGTCTGGAGGGGTTCCATGTTTCGGGCGCTGGGGGGTTGAAGGGGAGAGGTGGTGGGGCAGAGGGAGGGTTCTGGCTGTTGCCTGCCTCCAGTCCGTCTCCCATCGCAGCGGTGGGTTGCAGTGGCTGAGCAGACAGTTGAGGCAGACGGGACCTGGCAGGGGCAGGTGGGACTGGGGGGACCCCCCTCAGGCCATTCCACTCCTCACTCGACTCTCTGGAGGGATGAGAAATAAAACTCATCATCACTGCTGCTGCTGCAACTCTTGTGCTTGTTAGTTCTCAGGCCATGAACCATGGTCAGTATGGCCACACACTTTTAAGATAAAAGCAGCCCAATGCATTGTTTCTTCTGTAGAAGACATCCCGACATACGGCTTTGAGGGTCGCAGGCTGGAGCTAATCCCAGCTCACATTGGGTGAGAGACAGGGAACAACCTGGACAGGCTGACAGTATATCGCCGGGCCAACATACAGAGACGAACAACCAATTACACTCACACCTACAGTTAATTTAGAGTCTCCAATTAACCTAATCCCAATCTGCATGTTTTTGGACTGTGGGAAGAACACACGGAAAGAACATGCAAACTTCATACAGACGTAACTCAACCAAACTGGGATTCGAACCTGGAACCTTCTTGCTGGGAGGACTACCGTGCTAACTCTCTTTTACACAAATATCGAGCAGTTACAGATAAACAGAGACATTCGCTATGAACTGTTTAAAACACCAACTTGAAAGAAGCTAAACTTACACCATGAAGAGAAAGAAATGTTTTTTTCCCAGAACAAATTCTGTCCATCTGGCACAGACGACCTGTTTGGAATTTCACTGTGTTTGATCAAAAAATTGGAATCCGTTTTACACACCGGACTGGACCGAATGAAGAACTGCGCTGAAAGTACTTTTGATTTGTAGTCACACATACACCAGTTATATACAGCCAACAAGAATCATCTATGAATTTACTGTATTAGAGTTTCATAGTTAATATCGGGTATTGTGTCTGTGTTTGCAGAACGTCTGGGGAAATCAGATATCGATATAGATTATTGTTTGTAAGCAGATGCATGAAGATAATGCATTTTCTACAGATGTCAACTTAAAAGAGCCTGTGGTTAAAAATCTATGAAGACAAAAGTTCAACATTTAGATTCTAAAATGGATTAAATGGCCTTGCAACTTCTTAAACCCGGTTTAAGAAGGAAGTCTGTTGTTTTGTGGGGAACTTACATGTTTGTTGCCGTGCCACTGTGGTCTAGTCCGAGTGTGTGATCATATCTCGGTTGGTGAGGGGGCGATTTCCTAAGGTAACACGTGAACTCCGCCAGAGAAGCGCTGTCGAGGCAAGGAAACCGCAACACGCTGATAGAGGGCTGAGTGTCACACCTGTGAGAGAGTGAGAACATTATGTGTTAAAGACAAATATCTGTCCACATCAGTATAAAAATGAGGTCAACATAATGCACAAGATTTAAAAAAAAAAAAAAAATTTCAAACCAACATTAAAACTCATTAGCAGATAAAAGATCGTTCTGTGTAGACCGTGGTATTTGGATACAACAGGAATGGGAAAGATAAATCTTGGATAAATGACGTCACCTGCACCTTTTTTAAGCAGTTAATTTGTGGCTGCAGCTGTTTTGCTCATACCTCTTGTACAATATTCAAAACTGATCCACCAACAGCCAGTTAGAGTCAATTAAAGAGTCTCTTATAAATATTTCATTAGAAAACAACTCAATCTATCTGGACATGCTCAAATGAACTGAGACCTACACAGACACACAACAGGTGCTGTACATGCTCCTCTCGTCTTGATCGAACCCTGATGCTTTAGTAAAGGTCACTGAACTGCTGAAGCCCTTTGCCTAACTTTCTGTCGGAAGTTTCAGCCCTTTGGTGCGTCCACTTTGCAACTAAGAAACGTATGAATTGTATTTTTATTCTGCTGCTATTCTGTCTGTCAGGACGCCTGCAACTTAAGGACAAGAAGGACCACGTGCATGCATTACAAACCACGTATAGAATAACCAAATGATCTCCTCAGTACAAAGAGCAGTTTGTAAGGCAAACATTATCCTCAGGTTTCTAATGCTTCTTTTATGACTGTTTATGAGGAAACTTTCATCATGTTCAAGTATAATTTGTTGTTGCTGTGTTTTGTATTCCATTTTATCTTGTTTGACTGTTAGTCAAGCGAGCTGACAACAGTGTGAGTGCTGTGATTTCCATGATTTATTGGATGAAAACACTGAACCCTGACCTCGGACCTTGACAGTTTCTAGATTATTTCGAGTCGGTTGCTCAAAGGTACTTTTTAATGGGTATTTCACAAAGACGATGACAGCTTGTCTTCAGTCTGTGTTGGGCTGACACTTCTTTCCACTGATGCCAGCTTCATTTCATCACACAATGACACAAATATTGATTTTTAAAGAATCAATTAATTATGTAAACAAAAGGTTGCAAATATTGTGATAAAAACCTTACTTCTGCTACACACTCATATTATCATCTTTATTAAAAGTCTAACAATTGGCCAGTACAAGCCTTTCACATGTGCATGAAACATTACCTATCTGAAAGGTAAAATAAATAAGTTTCATCACTGCTGTCCAGCACTCAGTATTTATTCTATTCTATACTTTCCAGTATATCTGTGTTGGTATTCATGTTTAGCCATGTGAAAACTTAAAGTTTAGAGAAGAAAGCATTTATATTTATATTTTACATAAAGGAATGTTTACTTTCTTAACGCAAGGTCTATATATTCGGTTGTGTGATATTTGGTAAAAATAAAGTTTAAAGTCAAACAATAAAATCTCACGCCTCAATACATTTCTTGTAAGGACTTAATAATGACATCTCAGGAATCACTGTCAATTATTTAAGAACATATAAGGGCTGGGCAACAAGACAATGTCAATAATTATCCCAATATAACTTTCATCGATAACAATACAACAAAGATTAGATATATAATGATATAATGCCTATGAATAACATAAGCCTGTAAGCACAGTGCAGAGGAATAACACGTGACTGATTTCCTTCAGATTAGTAAAATGTTTAGCTGCTTATTAAGTGTTTGTCTTGAGAAGAGTTTAAAAGCACAACCTTCACTCAGGAGCCAGTTTTTCAACTGAACAAAAATACTAACGAGACATTTATCACGATAGTAAATGATATCAGCTGAAGCTTTTCATCTCAATATAGTTTTTGGCCATGTAGTACAGCCCTGATGCCATAGGCCTTATAAATCCATATCTGTCAACAAACTTCCAGACATTCATTCATGCTACAGCAAAACAAAGAACAAACCTATTAATGCAGTGTCCGATATAATAAGATAAGATAATCCTTGTTGAAATGGGGAAATTTGCAATTTTACAGCAGCGGAGTCAAAAAAATAGGCGTAAGTAAGTAATAATATATAACATGTAAGTGTAAGGATAATAATTCTTAAGCGTAAGGAATAAAAAAAGATATAGAAACATATGAATGGAATAAAAACTAATATATACAGTGTAAGAAATGTGCCATGTGAGATAAGTAGAGTGAACGGGCTGCACGTGAAATAATGATGTTGCTGATTTTAAAACTGGCACAATTACAAGATAAACTCAGATGTGAGTGACCATCAGGACGAGATGAGCGAAGGAAATCACACCAGAGAGCATCTGATGAGTGTAAACACACTCCAGCTGACAGCCAGAGCCGAGGACGAGGCTCTAAAGACACAACACGTGCGTCCGGCGAAGTAATTCAAAGCTCAATCCAGTTATTGAACCACATTTATCAGCCATTTTGCTCCTGTCACTGTCTGAGGGCAGCTAAGAAGCTGGCGTAACTGAGCGTGGTGAATACCGTTACGTATCTTACGGAGTGTTCCTGCGCAGCTGCGGCTAGCAGCGTCTTGCTAACCTTCCTGTCACCACATCGCCATGTCCACTCGCCGTAAGTGACAGTGACAGCTCCGCACGCAAACGGCCTTTCGGAACACGACTCGCACCGCGCTGACTCTCTCCGCACGGCGCAGCCCCGCGTCCGCGCCGCCACGCGCGAGCTGCGCCGCCGAGAGGGACGTAACTTATGTCACGAATACGGCCTGCGGGGCTACAAACAAACAGCCTAGCCGCTAGCAGGCTAGCGTGAGGGCGACCTGCAGCGACCGTGCGCGCTGACAGCACGGAGGGTGCCCGCGCCGCGAGCAAGGGCGAGCGCCGAGAGGGGACGGGTGCGACCCGGGCACGTTGGCGCCGAACCGCGCCGGGTTAAAGGGCTAAAGATCCATCCGACTCGCGTGCTCGAAACCGGTGCAAGGCCTGCGGAGAGCGCTCATGCTCCGCTCACCGAGGAAGCTCACTGACAGCGCGCCAAATGCGCCACCGACGGCCGGTGCGACCGCTCCAGCGCGCCCCGCGGGCTGCGAGCTGTGTTCGGGGGAAGCCCCGGTGGCGACCCGGACTCGCAGGGCGCAGTTTTTACCTTCTCCAGGCGGGTGTCAGCCGCGCGGACCTTCCTCGCCCCAGTTCCAGAACAAACAGTCCCGTTTGACGTCGCTGACGTCAGACGCACGGGGGGAGGGGGGGGGGGAGGGGGCAGGGCCGAGCGTCTGTCAGCGCAAATGTCACCCAACCTCGGCCCCGCCCACTCGGCCGCACGCCCCGCCCCACCCACATCACGCAAGAGTCTGAAATAATTTCTAAGTTTTATTTTTAACTTTAAAAAAAAGTTTGAATTAAAAAAACAATTCGACGTCTTCGTATAATTCACATGAAGTCTATGCATTGAACAAGTTTGAATTTAAAAAATGTTTAATTTTGAAACTATTCGAGCTCTTTATATGATTTATATAGATTCAACAGGTCAGAGCTTTAAATAATAAGAATAGATTAGATGAACTTCATTGATCCCAGTTGGGAAATTGTTGTGTCACAGCAGCAGGTCAAGGACATTCACAACGAGTAAGAACACAGAGAGACAATGTGCAAATTTGCAGTATTTGTTTGACATGACAAAATAATAAATCTGACTATATGCAGTAAAATGAGTCTGAATATAATATGAGCAAAAGGAAATAATAAATTGACAGTTATTGCAACAGTAATTACTAGAAAGTACTATCCGAGGTCTTATAATTGAACATTTAAAATTTTATTTAAAAACAGTCAACAGGTAAAACCTATGAAATAATTAAAACCTTTACAGATCTGAGTCTGAAATGAATTTAAATGACACATATGAGTTTATATATGCGTTTTATTAATTTGCAGTGTGAAGAAGACATCACACTGCAAATTAAGAAAACATGGTAAATATGTTTTTTAATGCCGTCATTTTTTGTTTTCCTGCTTCTTCAATTCGATAAATAAATTGAATACAGTTTTTTAATTTGAGCTTTCTGCTGGGATTGTATTTACTTATAATTTCGAAAATTAAACAATAACCCAACCTTTTCATACGAATGTTTTTACAAATGCTGTCGATATGTTTACTAAAATAAAGGTGACAAACATAGAGCTGTGCCTCAATATCTCCTGTCATTAACTGTTTACATTAAGTTGTGTATTTATTTTCCAGTGACTTTAATGGACACTTTTGTGAGGCAGCAGTCAAACCTTCTGTAATGTACGTCGCCGTGTGTTGAGGGAAGTTGTTGAATCCACAGAGAAAATCTATGTATGAGACTGAATTTGGTAGATTCATCGTAATTGTTGCAACTGGAAACATCAACATGGAGCCAACCAGGGACTAAAGTTAGCAGTAGGCTACATATGTCATGTTATATTATCATTGTCTCAGATGTAAGGACAATTCTGTCCTCTAGAGCTCAACATGTGAATCGAGAAAACCATGGACTGTAACTTTATTAATGACTTAGTATATTGTATTGTTGTTTTTAAAGCTGTTAATCAGTGCATGTCTGCAAGTTATTTTTGTACTTACCCTGAACCAAATTGCCTTCAGGCTTAATTAAGTTAAATGGTGTTATATTGTCTAACTACCACTTGGAAGCTAAAAAGCAGTGAAAGGTGAAACTTTTATTTCTTGTAAGATTTAACAAACTGACGTAAGAACTTCTGTGAGAATCTAACATAGGGACTCCATCCTGACTCCATTAAAATCTTAAAAACAAAACAGTGAAAGCGATTTCTTCAACAAGTTTATTTCTTACTCAGAGTGACACAAAACCATTAAAGAGGATGACGACTGAATATCCCACTAACTCTACAAACAGAGTTCACAGATAAAATATCTCAGTCTCTGCAGCTGCAGGAGAAAAACCCACATTGTTCTAGATTTAAGTAAAACTGAGAACAAACATCCATTCATCATGAAAACTGATAATAAGCAGAAAGCGACATTGTGTCAACTCTGATCAGAAGAAAAACAAAGTACATCATGTCTCAACTTTACAATACTAAACAAATTAATCCAAAATTTAGAATTTAGAGGCACAAGAAAAAACTATTAAGGAGGAACAGTTAACATTGTAGGAAATCCAGTTATTTTGTTTCTCGTTAAGACAATTGATACAGTTATGGTGCAAAACACTCCAGTGGAGATGTTTAATATTATTATAAGTTCACCAGGGAGGTTTGGAGATCCACAGTCTACGTAATAAATAAGGAAACACTAACATAAGCCGTTTTCAGACATGACCTCGGGGTAAAATCTGTACAATTGGTTTCGGGGTTTACCAACAGTTTTCCTTTCTCACATGCGCACACTTTCTATTTTTGAGTCTATCACACGTTAGAAGCGCAATCAACCCCCCCCCACTTGCCCAAGAGGATCATGGGATCATCGACATCTCCTGGATTTCTACGTACCTAATACTAGGAGGTCAGGTGGATAAAGTCCGTAGAAACTGCGGATTTTCTCACTTTGACATTTAAGTTCACACATGCACCTCCTCCGGAGAACATACGGAGCAACTGTGGAGTCAGTTCGTGTCTGAAAGCAGCTACGGTGAAAGTGATCTTTTTATCTAAAAACTGCAAAAAAACTGTTTCCCAAAATGTCTAACTGTTCCTTTAACAAAAAAAACATTGTACGGAATAACCTCAGAGTCATTATAGAAAGAAATGGAGGGAGCAGGTACAATATGTGTATTTGTTAATAAGCCTGACACTGAACTTAGGTTTCGAGGGTGGAGGGGTCACTGACTGGTCCAGACTGATGTTTTAGGTTGAGAGGTCAAACCCAGGGTGTAAGTCATTTGTGATTCTCTTCCTCCTCAACTTCTGCTGCTTCCACTCCTTCATCCTCCTCCTCTTCCTCAAGCTCGCCTGGTAATCCCTCTTCGCCAATCTCGTCGTGCACCACGTATCCCTCCTCCCCCTCGTCGTCTTCTCCCACTTCGAAACCATCCTCTTCCTGGTTCTCCTGCTCCTCTTCCTCTCCTCCCATTAGTAGCTCATCCTCCATCTTTTCCTCATTTGCTGCTTCAGTTGCCGCTTCACCTTCGACCACCTCTTGGCCTGCGTCTCCCGCTGACACCGGCTCCTCCTCTTTGCTTGCCACCTCCTCCATCTGACCGTCTGCTGTCTGACCATCAGCCACCTCACCATCAGCGGCTTGACCGTCTGCTGTCTGACTATCGGACGTTTCACCGCCGGCCGCTTGATCCTGGGCAGTTTGACTGTCTGCCGCCTGACCGTCCGCTGCCTGATCATCCGCTGCCTGATCATCGCCCACCTCACCGGTTAATTCCATCTCAGACACGTCCATCACCATGGAGTCATCTGGATCCTGGTCGTCCTGGTTACCAGTGAACGGGTTTTCACCCTGAAAATGAAAGAATGGTTTTAAGTATATACTGCTTGCGTAGGAGCCGCCCTACACTCACGATCACATGAGATTCTAATAAGTGTCTTCAACAATATGTTTTGCAGCTTGCCGATATTCAGATTTGAAGTCATGTTACCCAGACGTAAAAAGGGGTGTGAGATTTAATATCGTGGTGGTACTGCACAGGGGTGTACTCAGTTTTGTTGTAAACTCAGAACTGCCTTCACATTTACTGTGGATAAAAACATGAGCCCACAAACTCTCATCCATATTCCTACATGCAAAGCAAAAACAGAATAGGAAAAGTACTCATACTTCCTGTCACCCTGCCTGGGCACATGACACTTGCACATACCTTGAGGTAACTCTCCAGCTTCTTGCCGATGAGTTTGTGGTTCAGGATGCTTCGAGCGACAGACAGGCTGCCCCTCTTAGACTGCTCCATCATCCCCTTGAATAAAAGAAAGGACAGTCCCAGGTCATTCACAGGGCAGACTACAAATATTAAGTTTAAAAATGATATATATATATATATATATATATATATAATGATGAAGATAATCCTTTTTTTAGGGTCTTGAATTGTACATTCACTCAAGTTTTGTAAAAAGCGTCATACCTTGCGGTTGTAGTTGTGATCAGGAGACTTTATATGTTTCTGTATCAGGTGCAGCTGCATGGGAATGAAGAGGTCACATGCTGCACAGTGAGCAGCTTCCACTTTCCTCATGAAGTGCTCCATTCCAAGATCTACAGGGGTGAGAAAGATATCTGCAATCAGCAAACCCTTGGCCTGCACACACACACAGACACGCATGCACGCAGCTGTTACTTACCTCTGGTGAGGTCCTGCTCTTTGTAAACCTGGCAGATGGCAGCACTGTGGTTTTCTACCTGGCTGATCCTCTGGTCCGTCTTTGTAAACTTGTTCTGCAAATACTCCTACAAAAACACAGAAATAAAGTTTTCAATTTCGTCAGAAAAACTCCCCAACTGTAAATATAGTAAAATTACAATTTAATGCAATCACCTCGGTGAAATATATGCCATTTGTTGAGATTCACATGTAGAACTTCAAAATATAGTAAATCATGATTTAAGGACAGCCGTGCTCTGTTTGAGTGCTTTTGCGAAGATACTAACATACAGTTTCTAAAACCTTATGACTGTGATTGTGATGAATGTTGTCACCTGTAGGAAGTCTGTTGTGGGCTTGGACAGTTGGCCGGAGAGGAACTTGAAGTGGTCCTTGTGGAAGCGACTGTCAAGATGAGTTTCCATTTCATCCTTGTAGAAGGAGCGGAACTTGCACACTGAGCAGGCAAACATCACCCTGAAAAAAAAAAACATTGGGAAGTTTAGGTTTAGTTTAGCTGAGGTTAGTGTAAATAAACCAAACACAAAATATTGAAAAATAATATTTCAAAATGTGTTTCAGATGCCTGTTTTGCATGTTCACGGGTAACAAGCAGCAATGGTGTTGATACAAAAAAAGAACATGGGAATGAACTAAAATTTTCCCTCTTGCCTTTCCAGGAAGCCCCGTCTCTTTCTCATTTTCGGGTGCTTGTCTTGACCTTGTACTGGGGTCTGTTTTCCCTGTGGCTTTTTCTTCTCCTCTTGCTTGGGTGAAGCTAAACAAGAGCAGAGGAGCAGAAGTTAGACGAGCAACGTTTTCTACGAGTACAAAAATAGTACAAGACAAGTAGATGATGTAGACCGAAGAAGCAAAGCACAAAAAAAGGTCAGAGTGAAGCTGCTGAAGGGAAACTCACCTTTATCTCCCTCAGGTTTCGTCTCCTGTAAGACAGGAACCCATTGTTTATTAAAAAAAAGGACATGTAACTCTTTGTTTTTATACTTAGATTAAGAATTAAAGTTTGATCTTTATATCTTTGCAAATTCTTCTGTCCTGGCTTCATAGCTGTGCAATAGCTGTGCAATAGTCCCAGCGGAACAAGCAATGCAAGCAGAGCTCAAAAGTTTACATTAGTTTGGAAATCCACCGACTCACCTCAGCTGCAGTCTTTGGTTCAGTGGCACTGCCATTTTTCTCAGCTGGCTCTATTGACAGAGAACAGAACAAGAAATGTTACCTACCAAGTCGTGAGTTTGTTTCTTAAATCCACCATGGAAGAGGCAAGAAGGTGGAGGTAAGGAAAGGTTTGAAATTAAATCAGCTGATTAAAAATTATTTTGGGGCGTACCTTGGGTCACCTCTGTCCCTGCACTCTCCGTCTTATTTATCTTGGACTCTGGTTCATCAGCTGCAGTGAGCATCTGCTTTCTCTTTTTCTGGACATCTGGACGTTGTTGCTTCACCTGCTGCTGCTGCTGCTGCTGCTGCTGCAGTCAACAAAAATCAATACACATTTTCTAACAGCAACAAAAAAAGAGCCCCTCATCAACACATCACTGAAATCTAGACTTCATGCTGGTCAAAGCCAATTAGCAGTATTGATATGGCTTCCCTTTCTGGAAAATTTCCACATGAATAGCGTTAGTCTTATCTTAAGGAGTCCCGGGGGCAAAAGATACACAAAAAAAAAGTCTACAAAGTGAAATCAACGTCCCTTCACGTAAACGGGACAAAGAATTGGGCAGAGAGAACTGTCACTTGCATTTACTGTACAGAAACCTTAAAGCATTTCTGACCACATCCAATAAGGGCTGGGGGTAAATTATATGAGCAAGTGCTTTGTCAAATGTGTGTTGGGGGTTATTTGTGACAACTAGTTTTTGATGGCACAGCAGGCACTAGCTCTTCAGGCTGACTTGCCAGTTGGCAGAGGAAACACAAACAGGGGAATCAGAAAGGGCTTAACTTTTGCCCAGTGTCTGAGGAGGTCTTATTTGGCTAGAGGTACTTACTTTGTTGAGGGGTCTCTTGCGGCCTCGCTGGCGGCCAGCCCGTGGGCCCCCTCCAAAGTGCCTCCCAGGAAAGTCGTGAGGCCCTTGAGCGGAACCCTGATAGAAGCCCCCGCTCTCAGGGTACATGCGGTTGGACAGGAGAGATGGGAGCTTGCCTCTACCACCTCCTGGAGAGTGGCCACGGTGGGACTGGCCACCACTGCCACTTCCCCTCCCACCGCCTAATGGAGTGGAATCAGACCTGAGACTTCCAAAACCTCCGCCAGCTCCTCGACCCCCGGCACTTCCACCCCTTCTGGGGGAACGTCGGCCTGCTCCTCCCCATACCCATGCTCCACCTTCAGAAACTCCTCCCTGGCTACTGGTGAAGGAATCCCTCATATTCTGTCGCATTTTAGCGACTCCATAGGAAGAGGACGGGCTGTCAAAGCCTCCGCCTCCTCCTAGCCCCATTCCCCCTCCGAAGCCAGAGCCTCCTCGCTGACCCAACAGCAGATTGTCCCCACGGCCATCATCATAGCCATAGCTACTGCCGCCAGATCTGTAGAGATCTCGGGAGGAGGCGAGGGAGGAAGTGCGCGAGTCGAAAGACTCGTACTGGTCAAACCTGCGGGAGGGAGGGAGAGGGTTGATAGAGAAAAGCACAGAGCAAGGGAGGCAGGGAGGACAGTCAGGCTCGGATCTCTCCACCTGCTTTTCCTTCTCCTCCATGGTCTCGCTTTCTCCTTTTGTTTTGTTTGTATTTCACAAACCACATTAGATCAGAAGTCAATGATCCAAAACAAGTTATTACACTGCTTGTGGCCTTCTGTGATGTAGTAATGAATTTTCTCTTATTTTTCATCCAACCACATTTTTTGTTGGAGATCAAACACTTTCCTGCAGATTAGGGAAATGCAGTTTTTAACGCAGATTCCTTGTTAAAGGATACGCTCACAACCCTTCAACAGGCATGAACACGGTCCGTGAGAACCAGTGACCCTGAGACACAAGAGGTGAAATATCCTGGAAAGTGACTGGACTAAAATGAATAATCAGGGAGGGGATTAAAATACAGCCTGGGGTTTTTCCCCAGTATTATGGGCATTTTTATAAATATAGCAAGCAACCTTCAGTAAACATTTCAGCTTGACAAAGTAATATCAAGCAACACCTGAAAACTCATCACTTGTGTAACCTAAAGCCAGAACATGGGGTTAGGTCACATGGAGGATGAGAGAAACAAAATATATGAACAAACAAAGTCAAGATAAAAGTAATGTTCAAGGAGAGCTGTGTAAAGATGGACTGGCTTCATGTGCAAGGATGTATATCTCCAGCAGCCATGCATTTTCACAACATGTAGAGTTTTGATGGATCACAACTTTTCTTACCAGCAACCAGACAAACCACAACACAGCAGTCAAAGCTTCCTCAGATGCACTGAAATGGAGCCTGTGGGCAACTCATGCCTTTTCCCCCCCAAACAGGAATTGAGGCTAACGAGTGTGAAATGGGAGTAAAGACTAAAGCAACTTCACCATTCTAAAACAATAACGATAATGTGTCCAACCACAGTGACATGGCCTTTGTTTAAAAATGTTTGTAGATTTTTAAGAATACGGGACGCACATTAGGACACGGTTTTATTTATTATGCGAGTTTGTTAAAAGTCGTGCACATATTTACATTTATATATTTAAGTTAACTGTACTTTAATCTGTTAATAGTCAAAATCTTAAATTTCAACTTCCAATCTGCCTTAGCTATAAAAATGTCTTACTTCGAGCCCCCGGCGTTTTGTACTTTAAACCCTAATCCTCGGCACCGGAACCATTTTAAGTATCGATCTGGCACTGGTGTCGAAAAACCCCAGCAATACCTATATTCAGAAGCAACACTCTTTATGAAAGGGATGCCACACTGTGACATCTGCTTTGTATAGTATTGAACCTCACTTATGAAATAAACTAGTGGGAAATGTTATGCTCTTGCTGGCATGGATGTGTGGACGTGGTGTCTGATGGATGAAGACAATATGGATCAGAATGAGGCGAAAAGTTTTTACCTGTCATTTCGAGCCCCTTTCAACCCCCCCTCCAACTGAGTGAGCATGTCAAGTCGCTGGTTGATCTTGGCAATGACTGCATCTGCGTGTGTGCCTGAAGACGAGAGCATGGACGCTCCAGATAGATTCCTTTTCATTTGGCCGCTACCTCCTCCTCCTCCTCCGTAGCCGCCGAGCCCGGACATCGAGTCCTTGTAACCTCCACCGTACATGTCAAAGCCGCTAGAACCTGGTGGAATTGAAATACAACAATGTGACCACTAAAAACAGATCAGTGTTTTTCAGTGTTCAATATTCTCTCACTGTAACCTCGCTATAGATCACAAGTGGAAAGCATTGTCTGCCCATTCAAGTGTAATCGGATCTGAATCTGTATGCAAATACACACAACTGTCGTTTGTGTTTGCAAAGGGCAAAGAACATTTTTACCCAGTCAGGAGTGTACAAACGTGTCAGTCAGTAGGTTTGAGAGTGTGTTGGCACAGACACGCATTCAGCTTTGTAGGTGGTGCTTCATATGTGGCCGGATGCATCCCAGAACACCTACAACTGTGGTCTGATACCCCCTTTTCTACCACGGTGAACTGAGCCTCCAGAGCCACGTCATTGCATCCCTGACTATCAACTTGCTCATTTCTTTTTTTAGCGTTGACACATATGGACTGAGCTGACGTCTCTGACCCCCTACACGTTGATTAGTTTGAAACAACCACCACAATATCTGACAATATCATAAGACAATCAATACTTTTCTTCAATTAGTCTTCAAATCTTTCTTCATAGCTGCGCATATTCGTTTTTGAATTCAACTCTTCCGGACTCCACTTTCTCTCTAGAACAAAGCTGTGATTGGTCTCAGGCACAATAACCCCCCCCCCCCAATCTCTGATGAAGACCAGAAACGAGCTGGTGCCACCCTGGAACCAGTTTTTCTGGCCGAGTGCCTATTGATTGGTCGTTGAAACACAAAGAAATGGTTTCAGATTAGGCGCTGAATTCGAACTGGCCCTGGTGGGAAACTTCAGGTTCAGAGTTCA